CATTATTCCCTATGGCTGAGTAACTTTCCATTGTATACATGTACCACATCTTTATCCATCCATCTATCAATGAACACTTGGGCTGCTTCCATGTCTTGGCTATCATAAATAATGTTGCACTAAACATAGAAGTGCATACATCTTTTCTTATTAGTGTTTTCATATTCTTTGGGTAAATACCCAGTAGTTTAATTCCTGGATCATATGGTAATTCTACTTTTAATTTTTTCAAGAACATCCATGCTGCTTTCCATAGTCGCCACACCAGTTTGCATTCCCACCAGTACTGCTTGAGGGGTTCCTTTTTTTCCAAATCCTCACCAAGATTTGTTGTTTCTTGTGTTTTTTATTTTAGGCATTCTGACAGGTGATATCTGTTGTGTTGTTGGTTTTTTTTTTTTTTCATTATGGTTTTAATCTGCATTTCCCTGGTGATCAGAGATGTTGAGCCTCTTTTCATATGTATGTTAGCCATCTGTATGTCTTCTTTGGAGAAATGTCTGTTGATGTCTTCCGTCTATTTTGGTGTAAAGTTGTATAAGTTCTTCATATATTTTGGATATTAACCCCTTATTGGATATATCATTTGCAGATACCTTCTTCCATTCAGTAGGTTGTCTTTTAGTTTTGTTGATGCTTTCCTTTGTTGTGCAGAAGCTTTTTTATTTTGATGTGGTCCCAATCATTTATTTTTGCTTTTGTTTCCTTTGCCTGAGGAGACATAACTAGACAAATGTTGCTATGGCCAATGTCAGAGAAATTACTGTGCGTGCTCTCTTCTAATATTTTTATGTATTCAGTTCTCACATTTAGGTCTTTAGATTCATAACCTGAGAATGTGTTTTAGTAGACTCACTCAAGTTCAAGAGTATTTTAACTAGTGTTCTTCACACTATTCTAATCCATTTGCTACACTTCACCTAAGAAATCACTCAGACATAAAATCATATTACAGAGTTTGTGGGAGTTAGAGACTAATTCTTTAACATTTTTATACAAGGTCTCCACAATTAGGCAACTGCTTGCCCCTCCAATTTCACTTGTGCTGTATTTAACCAAAATACTTGCAAGCAACTGCTTGCCCCTCCAATTTCACTTGCACTATATTTCACCAAAATACTTGCTTTGACCTAAATTCACTGGTTATTTATTCCAACATATTCTGAAAACTTACTATGAACCAAGCATTTTGCTCAGCACTGAGGCTATAAATATTAGTAAGTTATGGTGTCTCTTAAGAAGTAAATAAAAATGTGGGGCCCCTGTGTGGCTCAGTGGGTTAAAGCCTCTGCCTTCGGCTCAGGTCGTGATCTCAGGGTCCTGGGATCGAGCCCCGCATTGGGCTTTCTGTTCAGCAGGGAGCCTGCTCCCTCCCCTCTCTCTGCCTGTCTCTCTGCCTACCTGTGATCTCTGTCTGTCAAATAAATAAATAAAATCTTCAAAAATAAATAAATAAATAAATATGTAGATAAATTCTATAAAATGAGATTAGAAAAGCAAAGATACAGAGTGGTGTTTCTCTTCCTAAGTCACTTAAGGTGACAATATAAAAGATAACATTCAAGTACAAATCTTGAAGGATGAGTTAGAATTTATTATATGACATAGAAAGCTTATTTCAGGGAAAGTAAAAACACAAAGGAAAGCACAGAGATGTGAAAATGAATCCCTTATTTGAAGAGTTGTAAATAATCCAAAATGGCCAAACCATAAGATTGAAGATGGGATAAAGGATGCAAAGATGGGAAGGTGGGGCAAGATGATGAAAGACCTGTTATGTCAAAAGGAGTGTGGGCTTTGTCCTGGTATAATATGATCAGATTTACTTTTTTAAATGAAAATGCCCCCAGACACCTGGTTGGCTCAGATGGTTAAGCATCTGCCATTGACTCAGGTCATGATCCCAGGGTCCTGGGAACAAACCCCACATTGGACACCCTGCTCGGCAGGGAGCCTGCTTCTCCCTCTTCCTCTGCTACTCCCCCGCTTGTGTTCTCTTGCTCTCTCTGTCAAATAAATGAATAAAATCTTTTAAAAAATAAATAAAATAAAATGAAAATTCCCCATAATAATTTATTCAGGCAATGGTTGCCAAAACTAATAGATGAAAGTTTGAAGAACAAAAGATAATTACATTGTAAATATCTCTCCATGTGGTATTCATTACAAGGAGAAAAATGGTAACTTAGTGGAGAAATTTAGTAGACACTACCTTAACCAGTTACTCAAAGTGAGCATCACAATAATGGGATAAATCATGAGCATCCTGATGTAATTCATTGAGAAGAACATAGCACCATCACTTCTGTGGTCTTCCTGCCAAAATGGTATCCTGAATCTAATTATGAAGAAACAGATAAACCCAAACTGAGAAGCATACAAAATCACTGAAAAGACAAAGGGAAAAATGGAAAAGTAAAGGAGATTAAATGCACAGATTAATGCATAATCCTGGTATTTTCCCCATAAATGGCATTATTGAAACAAAAGGCAAAATCTGAGTAAGGTCTGAAAATTAGGTAATAGTATTTTATCAACATTCAATTTTTTAGATTTTGTAATTATATTGTGATTACATAAGATAATTTTATATTTTAAGAAGTATACATTGAAGTACACATTTAGTGTTGAAGGAGCATCACATCTACAACTTACTGTCAAGTGATTTTTTAAAAATCATATTAAAACATGTTCATATATAGAACATACTGTTTATAGCAGTATTATTCACAATACCCAAAAGGTGAAAGCTACTCAAGTGTCCATTGATGGATAGATAGATAGACAAAATGTGATATATACATACAATGGAATCTTATTCAGCTTTGAAGAGGACAGAAAATATGACACGAGTTACAACATGGATGAGCCTGTAAGACACTATGCTAAGTGTTATGAGCCAATCAGAAAAAGAACAAATACTGTGTGATTTCCCTTAGATGAGGTTACTAGAGCTATCAGATTCACAGACAGAAAGTATAATGGTGGTTGCCAGGTGCTGGAGGAGGGAGGAATCAGGAGTTATTGTTTAATGAATACCGAGTTTTAGTTTGGGAAGGTGAAAATTTTCTGGAGATGAATGATGGTGATGGTTCACACAACAATGTGAATGTACTTAACAAAATTGAACTATACCCTTAAAAATGGTTAAATGGGGGGCTCCTGGGGGGCCCAGTCAGTTAGCTGCTGACTTTTGGTTTCAGTTCAAGGCATGATATCAAGGTCATGGGATGGAGCTCCGTGTTGGACTCCAAGCTCAGCGCAGAGTCTACTTAAGTTTCTCTCTCCCTTTGCCCTTCCCCCACACTCTATCTTTTTCTCTGTATAAAATAAATATACAAGTCTCTTTTAAAAAGGGTTCACAGGTGCCTAGGTGGCTCAGTTGGTTAAGCATCTGCCTTTGGCTCAGTTCATAATCTCAGGGACCTGGGATGGGCCATGTCAGGCCTCCTGCTCAGCAGGGAGTCTGCTTCTCCCTCTCCTTCTGCCACCCCAATGCCCCCCCCTCAAATGAATAAAATTTTTAAAAAAATCTTTAAAAAATGGTTAAATGGTGAATTTTGCATTATATATATATATAATGTGCAATTTATAAAAATAGAAATCATTAAAATTTTTTGTAGACAGGTGAGAATAAAGGAAAAGTAGTAAAATGAACACTTATCTTTGAAAGATATAGATGGAATAAAGAACAGAAGCAGAGAGACTATCTAAAAAGTGTCCTAATGTGTACCTCAGACAGAGAAAATGGATACATCTGAGAATGATTAGGAAACTAATAGGATAATATTTTAGACTCCTGTATCACATTTGGCTTCTGGTTAACCAAAATACACAGATATAAGTGCATGCACTGGTTGCTATCTTTGCCTGACCATTTATCTAATACTCACTTGCCCTTCATAACTTGGCTCTGCCTTGAATGTGACTTCCTTTGAGAAGTCCTCACTGATTCTACACAGTCTTTCCCCTTTCTCCTTACCTCACACCATTTCTTGGACTGAATTAAGTCTTTTTCCCTTCTTAGATGTTGTGATAGCATCTTTTGCACTGATATCAACTGTGTCATTTCATATTTTGGAGTGTCTGCATAAAAAAACTTCATATCTTCCAAGCATCTAAATAAAGTCCAAATTCACCAGTAAGAAATTAAGACCTTCCACACAAGGCTGTCAGAATTTACCGTTTATTTCAAATTCTGTTTACCGACCTACTTAATTTTATTCAACAAGTATTTGAAACCTACCCTTTGCAAGGCTTTGTGAAAGAAGGAAGTTTCTAAATAAGATATATGATCATTATCTTTGTGTTCATTTTTTGGTCCCTTGTTTCCTTTTACTACTTCATTGCATCTTAGGGGAAAATAATCTTTGGAGAACATTCATCCATATTCATATTTAAGTAAGCAGTTCCATTTTAAGACAAAATGTAAGTGGAATGCCTGGGTGGCTCAGTTGGGCAAGCATCTGCCTTCAGCTCAGATCATGATCCTGGGGGTCCTGGGATTGAGTCCCGCATCGGGCTCCTTCCTCAGCAGGGATCCTGCCTCTCCCTCTCCCTGCAGCTCTCTTTGCTTGTGCTCTCTGTCTCTGACAAATAAGTCAATAAATAAATAAATAAGTAAAATCTTTTTTTAAAAAAGACAAAATGTAGATCATATATTGAAGTTTAGAATAGGTGGAAAACTATCCAGCACAATGTTTGGCTCATAATAAAAGTTCAATAGATGTTTAAACTGGATACATTCTAATTAAAAATTTAAAGATAGAAATTTAAATTTAATACTATAACAAAGAAAATTATTATTGCTTTAAGCCTTTGGAAACCTGTTTATTTTTGCTTCATGTTAGTTCAAATGTTAAAAGTTGAATTTTTACTTATGTTATTCGTAACATATTACTATTTGTAGTTTTATCACTTTGAAACACAAAGTCGAAACAAGTTTAAGAATATATATTACACATGTTTTTTCAAAACCTTTTTCTATACTCTCTTTATAGGTTATATGTAAAGTCAGATGTGCCACTGAACTTGACAAACACAAGTAAGTTTCATGAGTAGCAAGATCTGATTTTTTTCACAGCAGACTTCTCAAGGTAGAAGGGCATGGTGGTTGAAGGAGTTGTAGCAGGGTTTTTTTTTTTAATTTAATTTTTTTTCACTGTTACAAAATTCATTGTTTATGCACCGCACCCAGGGCTCCATGCAGTCCGTGCCCTCCTTAAAACCCACCACCAGGCAGCAGTTTTATAGGAAGTCCAGTAGTTAGATTAGCACATGGGAAATGAATTGAGTAATGCTCAGCTCTCCCCCTTCAGCCATATTGCTGCCTAACACCTTTTTTTGCTGCTCTGCTACTGTCCTGCTTTAGATGTCAGATATAGTTTCATAGGGCCCACACATACTAAAGTTAGATTTTACTGTTTGGGGCAAGCATGTACAGTATAGTTCCATGAAATAAGGAATGTGTCAGTACTGACTAACATCAAAAATGAGAGTGCCAAGCTGGGGAGTCAGGAGATTGGGGTTTCAGACCAATTCTCCCACTAACTGGTAGACTCATCTAACCTCTCTATACATACTTGGCTTTCCCCGGGTATATGCTTAGCTTCAAGGTCTATTTTGGGTTTCAAGTTATATAGTATTATTTTTATTATGTAATCTGAGAGAATATTAAGATCTGAACTCCTCAAACTAAAATCTTTGTGTTTTGAATGTACACCTAACAAAGATTGCTTGTTACAAATTACACATTACCTTCAGTTAACCTCTTGTACCAAAGGCAGACAATATTTTATGATTTCCACTGTTGAAAGTGACCCAAAATAGAAGATATTAGGATGCCAAATAAATTTCTGGCTCATACTAATTTAGGTTATAAATATATTTGCACTGGGAACACATCGCTGTTACAGCTACTTGATACAAATATCTGTCCCTTACCTGAAGAGTTTTTATGCACTGATCTGATTTTTTTAAGGGGATATAGTTGAGGTATCTCATTTTCAGAGTTGCTATATATGCATCGTAAATATGCAACTTTATAAGAAGCTGAGGTATCTATGAGGTGCTTGAAACTGTACATATACTGTCCCTATGTTCTTCCTTGGTCATGTTTGAAAGCAATGTTTGCTATGGATAGTCAAAAGTTCATAAAAATTGAACAGTATTTAAAACAGATTTCTCTTAACCTCTTAAAATTAATACTAGGGATCAATTTAAATTTAGATAGGTATATTAATTTTCCAAGAAAATTATAAAAGCTTCATAATTCCTAGAATGGAAAGGTCAATGAAAATATGTTTAGTAGTTATAAAGATGAAAAATGCAGGATTGCTTTAATTAGTGTTAAAATACTCTTATATTATTCTTCCTGGTAGAAGCAACTGAGTTCAAGTCCACATGCAATTATTTTTAAATTAGTGTTTTAAAACCTGATGCTATTTTTAAAATGTTTAGATACTAATTTCATAACAGCGAAGATACCCCAAGTAACTCTGAGTGGTTATTAAATTTGTAATTAATGAAATTATAAAGATTTTAAGCTAAAGGTATTATTGTACCTGAAGTACCACACTAATTCAGAATGAAGTCTAATCTCTCATTAACATATGAACATCTAATAAATTTTTTTTTTCTTTCAGAATTCTGTTGCATTTGGGCTTTATATTGGCAAGCCTTCTTTTTTTAGTGGTGAACTTGGCTTGTGCAATGCTAGTCCACGGAGATGTCCCAGAAAATCAGTTGAAATGGACTGTGTTTGTTCGAGCATTAGTTAATGATAGCCTGTTTATTCTTTGTGCCATCTCTTTAGTTAGTTACATATGCAAAATTACAAAAATGTCATCAGCAAATGTCTACCTCGAATCAAAGGTAAGTATATTTCTTAAATTTACACTTGAAAATCTAACTTCAAATCCTCATCCCATGAAGCATATTTTAATGAAAAGCTTATGTTTTTTTAAAAAGTGTTCTGAACGTAAGGTATATTTTTGAGCTTGAAAGAATGGTCACAAGATATTAAAAGGCATTCGAAACTTGGCCCTTACTAAATAATAGGGTTTTTTTTAAGTTTCTATTGAACACATTCTATTTCCTGTGACTTATAGCCTCTGCATGGAAAGGTAAATTAAATAAACCATAATTTACATGAATGTATCACAAATGGCCTAATATATAAAGCCACACTAACAACTTAAGATTTCATCAGGGAGGGTGGCAATATTGCTGTTAAAAAATTCACCAGATTATATCTACATGCATTTGGGTTAGCAGTGTTAAGATGTCATACTTCCAAGGTGGTATTTATTTGTATGAAGATTTAGAAAATGTTATTTCATCCCATAATATGAAGACCCTATGATTTTAAAACAGCTAGTCATGTAATTAAACTTATAAATGCCTTGCTTCTGCCTTTCCTTATACTTTGGATCAGCAAACAGAGGTCAATGCTAAGCTATTAACAGAGAACCATAGAAGTTTCTACTGCTGATTGACAATGTGGTTGAGCAGTGAATCAGTCATCACAGTGTGTATGTTTCACTGGGTGTATGGGTATAGATGTGTGGATTTGGATCTGTGATTTATATATACACACAAGCTTGCCCTAATCTGGCATCATTATCTATTCACTGAAGATAAGAAGATAAGTAAGATAGTGTCTTAAACAGTTCTCTGAAATATAGTTAGACTTCTATATTGTTGTCATTTTTCATATAATCCTAGTAAAAGTTAGGTGCTTTAATTAAATGTATGGTAATCAACTTGTCCTTTAAGTTTAGGTAGAGACTTTAATTTTAGTTTTTAAACATGTGTCAGTAGAATGCAGGATAAATACAGAAATAGAAATAAATATATATATACAGAAAGAGAGAGAGAGAGACTTTCAAACCTACTAATCTTACCTGGAAAATAATCGTATCCAATTTCTATCCTAAAAAGTTCCCAAAATGTAAATGTTTTTGCTAATTCTGGCTTCAATTTAGTGTTAAAAATGATAATGTCACCACTGTAGTATATAATCTTGTGATGTATCAATAGCATCCCCACTTAATGTAATAATATCACTGTAAAATTCATACCTTGTGCTTTTCTAGTGATAAAGCATAAATAGATGTGATTGAATTTAAAAGCCTTCTTTTCTGGATATCTAACAACTTTTAAAGTTTGGATTACTTGCTTTGAAGTAGATATTTCTCCGAATATAGTGAATTTGCCAAACTGAGTGGAAAATCTCATCTGAATGAGATTTATGAGAATTATTTCAAACATCTTCCCCTCACTATCATATGAAAGGTGTTCACTTTATTATTATTATTATTATTATTATTATTTTAGAATTCTTACATTTAAAAGGTGCATGGATACAGAATTCTCTAGGAACACTACAGAGAGACATGCTTAAATACAGGCCTTTATAGGTAAACATAATATATTAGATTATTTGTATTACATTGTACAGTTATATAGTTTTTGGTCTTCCTAACTAGGTTATAAACATTTATTCAAAGAGTACATCATCTTGCTTTCATGTTCTCTTTATAAAATCACTAGGCCCATTTTCATTCTTTTACTTCTGCAGAGGGATAGCCATTTCTTTTATTCAGTCAACAAATAGAGGCTGAACATCTACCTCTGCCACTTTCAAACCGACTCTGCTTCCTACCAGCTCTGAGAGCATTTTCTTAAAGCTCAGACGTTGGTCTTCTGTTTTTCTGCTTATTCTTCTCTCCTTCTTCTACATATTCAGTGAGAATGAGATCATCAATGATTTGTTTCAACTCAGTCTTACCCACCTTATTTCTAAATGGCACACAACATTCTTCTGTCTCTATATCCTTAGGCTGTTTTATTTTCCAGGAACATCTCTCTCCTACCCTGTGTTCTATAATCTGTCCTCATCTTACAAAACTTTGAAGGCATAATTATAGTGTTTTCCCTTTTTATGGACTTAATTTGATTCCTTCTCCTTCACTTCGAGAATAAAATTCAGAAACAACTATCTGGACTCTCTTTTAAAAAAAAAGAAGTTTTTATTCCTTTAGCAGCTAGGACAGTGCTGTGTATTAGTTCCCTTTTTCAAAAAAAAATAACAACTCTAATTGGGTTTTTAAATATTAGTTATTGCCAATTTGAATAGTTTATTTCTGCACTTTCATTTTTTTATTTTCTTACATAATTAAGGTTTTTACTTTGTCCTTTGTCTATGTTCTTACATAGATACATGATTTATTGTTTTGTAAATAAATATTTAGATTTTGTAAATAAATATTTAGAGCGATATGTTTTCTCAAGTACTGCTTTGGCAGCTTTCCATAATCTTGTTATATTGTACCAACATTCTTACTTAACAAAAACAAAGGAAATTTTCTGTTTCAATTTCAGTGATGTCTCCAACATTATATACATATATATCAATGTGAATTAGATATTATCTTTATAGATAGGTCTTCCTCCAGCTTATTTTGGTAGAAAGTCTAAAATTCAGACACCTATCCTATTCAGGTCCCCTGACTTCCATGAGAAGTTACCAGTTTTACCCTCTCTTGACTGTCTATGCATATGAATCTGGCCTAATAAACAATACAGAATTTCTGTACTCCAGGTTCTTGAAATAAACTCTCAATTGTTAAATTCAAAAGCTTAATTACCAGAAAGATTACCTGAAGAGATGTCTAGTCTTTCCATCTCCCTATCTATTCTATATTTTATCTTTAGCCCAGTCCAGATGTTTTGCACTCAGACTACAGTGTTCCATGGGTGGAATTGTCTGTTCTGACCTATACTTTGACATCATGCTTTGGTCTATATGAAGAAATATGTAAGAAACATTTATCTTAAAATTTTCTATTGTATAATGTTCTTTTTTTTTTTTAAGATTTTTATTTATTTATTTGACAGACAGAGATCACAATAGGCAGAGAGGCAGGAAGAGAGAGAGGAGGAAGCAGGCTCCCTGATGAGCAGAGAGCCCGATGCGGGGCTTGATCCCAGGACCCTGGGATCATGACCTGAGCCGAAGGCAGAGGCTTTAAACCACTGAGCCACCCAGGCGCCCCTTGTATAATGTTCTTAAGGATATTGTCTACATAGTGTTCTGCAGAAAAGATCTTTTTCTCCAGTTCAGTACCGGGTAAAACAGTATTGATTAAATCCTTTTCTCTGACCACTATGCCATTCAGAGGCAAATACGTGGCTCACCTCTATGTCAATCATAGATGACCTTACGATATCTACTTTGGGTTCTGGCTCTACCTCTAGTTTTACTTCACTCTCTTATTCCCCAGCACCACCACACACATGTACATTCCTGTGTATTTTTAATTTTTTGTGCATCTCTGGGGACTACTTCAAATTCTCTTCTGCAATGAGGGTGGCATAAATAAAAAATGGTATTGGATATACTTTTGGATATGTTTACCTTTTTCAGATATATCAATTTTTAATTAATTTGGAAAGACCTTAGTGAAAGACAGTGAATGTACCATAGTGATTAAGAGCTGGAAACCGGAGGGGTGCCTGGGTGGCTCAGTGGGTTAAAGCCTCTGCCTTCGGCTCAGGTCATGGTCCCAGGGTCCTGGGATCGAGTCCCGCATCGGGCTTTCTGCTCAGCAGGGAGCCTGCTTCCTTTCGTCTCTCTCTACCTGCCTCTCTGCCTACTTGTGATCTCTCTCTGTCAAATAAATAAATAAAATCTTAAAAAAAAAAAAAAGAGCTGGAAACCTGAGAACAAAGATGTAAGGCCATAAATCCCATCTTCTGTTTACTGGCTATATGGCATTAGACAAGTAACAGCATCTCTAAGCTTCAGTCGGCTGACCTGTTAAATGGGAATAATGATAGTGTTGCTCATATGGGTCATTATCAGGGCAAGGTAGTATCTTGTAAAGTGGTTATAAATGAAATTTTATATAAAGTGCTTAGCATACCACCTAGCACTTGAGAAGTGCTTTTAAATGTTAGCTATTATGATCCTAACATGTACTAAGGGATAATACAGTTTTAGTTTCAGGAAGTAAATATAGTTTCAGGAAGTTCTTGAATTCTTGAAATTGTTGGCAAATTTATCTGGAAGGGGGTCCTATACATGTAATCAAATTCTCAAAAGGAACAGTGATTCAAAAAAGAGTAAGAATCATTGAAGAAGTGAATTTCTCTTTTTAATATTTTATTTAAATATTTTATTCTAATTTTACACGATTCCACCTTATTTATGTATCATTCCACACAGCCTTTAATAAGAGTTGAAGTCTCTAATAGGTTACATTTCATCTAATATTTAACTAGCTTCCCTTCAAAATTCGTAGATCAAATATTGTTGAAATAATGTAATGGCATTTTTAATCATAGGCATATTTTGTTCTGAAATCTCTTATATCTTTTATTACAATCTCTATTTCCTTTTATTTGCATTTTCATAATAGATGATGCTATCTTAACTTTTTATTTATTGCTAACATTTCAAGTGTGTCTCATTAACTTAAAATACAGAGCTGTTGAGGTTTTAACAAATCCTTTATATGATAAACAAACAAGAAACAAATGGTAAACAAATAGTTTATATTTATTGATATGATTGTGTGTTAGTATTGGTCTTTTTCTCCCATTGGTTTTTTTTATTGCTGTTTGCTTTGCCTTCATTTCTATGATTCCTGTGGTATGTTTGAATTTATTTAATTTTTACCAGAATTATAACATAACTTTGAACTTTAAAATGCATACTGATGGGGCTCCTGGGTGGCACAGTTGGTTTAGTGTCCAACTCTTGGTTTCACTGCAGACTGTGATCTAAAGGTCATGAGACTGAGCCCCACACTGGGCTCCAGGCTCCAGCCTCCAGCCTCCGTGCTCTGTGCTCCAGGCTCTGGCTCTGG